AAAAAGCCAGAAGGGGCGCTGTGGCTCAAGTGGTAGAGCGCTAGCCTTGAGCTGAAGAGCTGAGGGACAGCGCCCAGGCCCAGAGTTCAAACCCCACGACTGGACCCCCCAAAAAAGAGTATTTGACTTAGCAAGTGAGACTCTGAGCTCAATTGCCAGAGAAAGGAAGGAGAGAAAGGAGAAAAGAAGGGAGGGGAAGAAAAAGGATGGAAGGAAGGAAACAGAGGCAGAGAACTAGAATGGCAGAAGGAGTGAGGAATTCCTACTTGAGATTTTGTTGAGGAAAATGAAATTAAGTCATCAAGCGAGTAATATGGGAGAGGACATTTGGAAGGACTGTCCTCTCTGAAGGACTCTCCAGGTAGCATTTGAATCCTTCATCTGCACAGCAGCCTCAAACACGATGCACAAACTCTTTGGCTGGGGCTTGGTCTGTCACATGGATCTGAGACACATAGGGAGGGCATGCTGCCATTTACATCCTTTCCCCTTGGGCCTGGTTACAGATTGGCTTTCTGCGCAACCTCACGTGGACCTTGTCCAACCTGTGCCGTAACAAGAACCCATATCCCAGCAAGGAGGCCGTGATGCTGATGCTGCCCCGTCTCGCTCTCCTCCTGTGCCACCTGGACAATGAGATCCTGTCAGACACCTGCTGGGCCCTGTCCTATCTCACCGATGGCCACAATGAGCGCATTGAACAGGTGGTCCGCATGGGAGTCCTGCCCCGGCTGGTGGAACTCATGACCGTCCCAGAGCTCAATGTCTTGGTAAATGTCACCCTATCTTCTCCCTGCCTTGTACCCCATTTCTTCTCAGCCAGTTCAAATCCTTCACCTGGAGCTCAGTTTCCTGTGGACATTGCTCTGCTTCTTGCTGCTCTCTAGCCAAAGGAAGACTGGAATCCTTTTTGATCTGGCTGTTCCAGAAGCTTTCTCTTCTTTAATCTGATAACTAGGAAAAAAAATGAACCAAGTGAAAAATGAAAAATGAACCAAGTGAAAAATGGCTTAGAATCCTGCCAGTCCGGAGCCATCCTTGCATTCTTGCCTTCTCCTTGTATAATTTGGATTTCTTAGGTAAATATAAGAGATTTCCTCTTCTCTCCCCAGTGGCTTCTCGGATTACCTAGATGCAGGTAAAAGCATTATGGACCTTTGAACAAGTACCTACTGTTCAGAGTTGTGGGTGCTGGCTTGGTGTATGGTCTGAGTTAGTGTCCTATTACCCAGGTGGCCTACCACTCGCTAAGTGTTCTACCACTTGAGCCACATCCCCAGATCTGTTTGTTTGTTGTTTGCATAGGGTCTCCAGCTTTTGCCTTGGCCAGTCTCAGTCTTTCTGCCTCCACCTCTTGAGGAGCTGGGATTAGAGACATCCCTCATCCTTCCAGTTTGTTTTTGAGATACTGTTTCACTAACTTTTGCCTTGGCTGGCCCTGGAACTGAGATCCTCTTATTTCTGCTTCCCATGTAACTGAAATTACAGGCATGTGCCACCATGCCCAGTTTTTACAGACAACCTTTATTTTTTTTAAGTAAGATTTTATTAACAAAACAACACTACACTGAATACATGTTACTTTCACTACTACATTAAGTTTTTTATTTTTAATATTTAAAGCAATCTCCTTAAGTAAACCCACTTACTCCTTAATATATCCCACTTTTAACAACTTCCTTTTACTATGCACTGTGTCAGCCTTTCGATGTCATTACTCATTACACAAGACACAATTACTTTTAAATCTGAATGCTTTTTTTACATATTTTTATTATTTTTAAGTAGTTGTACAAAGAACTTCTCATTCTACAAAACAGTATATGAATACAAGGTGTCTGACAACATTGTCACCCAGCGTTCCTAACCCATCCCTTCTCTCACTTTTTTTTAAAAATTGAGATTAGGTGATTACATAAATTTCACATATTTCACAGTAATGTAGAATAATGACACTTAAAGTCACAAACCCATTTTAACCGTCACAAGACAAATTGCCATTATCATGGTCTATAAAGTTTGTGAGTTCTATGAGCTTTGACAAATTATTTTTTCCACATCAGGTGATGATTACATTTCTTTCCTTTTGCTTAGTGTAAGCTGTTCCCTGTTTCCCTCTCATTCCTCCTTTCCCATCACTGTCTTTGGGTTGCTTAGTTCTTTCTCGTCTATGTACAGACAAGCTTTTATAGAAGTGTTGGGGGCCCAGTTGAAGCTGCCCTGTCAAGGCTGTGATTGACCTGCGGAGCTGCTTCTCCATGGAATAGCAGGTGTACAATTCTGATAGGCTTGGAAAACTCTGGAATGGTTAACAGACTCCCTTGTCCCAGGGGCAGAGAAACTCAGATCAATCCATGGTCAGTCTTCTACAGCATTTGTTGCCTTGAGTCCAATCATTAGCCATCCTGCAGACCTTCAGGGTCACTGGGAGGCAGCCTGTGAGCATACCGGGCAATGCCATTGGGCTCTCCTATGTCTCACTTAGAAATAAGCAGTCACAAATACCAAATACAAACGTGATCTGCACTGTCACTGGCTTAGCGTTTTCCCCAGTTGAAAAGTAATGCAAGTGGCAGCATTTCCTTTTTACTTTAGTTACCAGGGTTTGAACTCAGAGCCTCTTGCTGGCTAGGAAGGCCCTCTACCACTTGAGCCATGCCCTCAGCCCTTTCTGCTTTAGTTTAATTTTTGATAGGGTCTCATGCTTTTGCCCAGAGTAGCCTGGACCACCATCCTCCTCTTAATGCCTTCCTTCTGCAGAGCTGGGATGACAGGTGTGCACAAGTCAGCAGCATTCCTTGCCCCTTAGCCAATAGAGCCACTATTGTAGAAAGCCAGCAAGAACCTGAAACTAGATGAAAAAACAGCCACCCATGATTTGTTGCATGACAAGGGTCATCAGTATGGTTCCCTAGCTGACCCTGGGCCTGTGAGTCCAGTCTTCATGTTTGGGAGGGCATGGGGTTCACATGATGATAGCTTTGTCTCTCGCCTGGCTCTTCCAGACCCCTTCTCTCCGCACCATGGGCAATGTCGTCACTGGAACGGACGAGCAGACGCAGATGGCCATAGATGCGGGAGTGCTGAAGGTGCTGCCCCAGCTCCTGAAGCACCCCAAATCCTCCATCCAGAAGGAGGCCATGTGGGCCCTGAGCAACGTGGCCGCCGGGCCCCGCCACCACATCCAGCAGCTGATCGCAAGTGATGTCCTGCCTGCTTTGGTGAAGATGCTGAGAGATGTAAGTAGCACACGAAGCCCTCCAGCCTGAGACATCTCCCAGAGGCCCAGGCCTCCCAGTCATTGCAGGCTAGAAAGGGAAGCCTAGTTCTGGCCATTCTGTTTTGTCACCAGACAAAACAAGCTTATGTCAATGGATAGGGACCCCTTGGCTCCAGAAAATGTGAGACTGTGCAAAAAAATAAAAGGACTGCTGGTGTGGTTCAAATGGTAGAGTATCTGGCCAGTAAGCCTGAGACCTCAGGTTAAATCCCAATTTGAAGAGGGAGAGATTTTATTTTATTTTTTGGTAGTGGGGCCTGAACTCAGGGCCTGAGCGCTGTCCCTCAGCTCTTCAGCTCAAGACTAGTGCTCTACCACTTGAGCCACAGCACCACTTCTGACTTTTTCTGCTTATGTGGTACTAAGGAATTGAACCCAGGGCCTCATGTATGCAAGGCAAGCACTCCACAACTGAGCCTCCTTCCCAGCCCGAGGGAGAAATTTTAAATATAAATGTAGAAATGCAGAAGCTTCCTTCTTTTTTACTTGGTCTTTCCTTAAGAGCAATTCCTACTGTCTGAGTTTCCTTTTGCCACCTTTTAATGAATGACTTGTGATTATGCTACCTGCGTGCAATTGGACTGCGCTGGGAAGACCATCAGGGAGGGAAATTGAGGCACGTATGCAATCCAATGGCCTCTTCTCATCTGTTGGTACTCCTAGCCTGCCTCCTATGGTTGAGGAAATGCATATTTTTTTTTCCTGAGGTATCAAGGTTTGAACTTAGGGCCTCATGCCCCTGGTCTCACTAATGTAGCCAAGACTAGCCTTGAACGTTAAGATCCTTCCACATTAATTTCCTGATAGCTGGGATTACAGGTTTGTACCACCATGCCTGACTTCAGAACTTGCATATTTGATTTTATTTCACATGGAGGGTAACTTTCCCCAATCATAAAATGAGACGAGCTCTCTGCCCAGGAACAGAAGGTCCATGATAAATTATGCCCATATCTCCGGGGCCAAACACTCTTGCTGCACATGAAGGATTCATTGAGCAGTATTTAAAGTCTTGTTGTTACCTCTGGCCTGACTCTGTCCCCTGGATGACATCTGTGTGCCCATCATGGAACTTGTCCAACTTTTTATTGGGTGAGAAAGATGAGAAGTGTAGCTGTAAGCCGCTGCCATCGGAAAAGTCCGAGTGTAATTCCTAGTTTATATTTGTGGCTGGACTGTTTCTGTCTCTGCAGAAAGACCTAGGGAAGAAGCTACCTTAGCCTCCCTGTCTCCTTGCCTGACTGAGGGTTTCATGGCTTTAGCTAGACGCCATTTCCTGATCCAGAACTAGAGGCAGGGACAAGTGCAAGGAATGGGAGGATCACAGCTTGAGGCCAGCCTGGTTAGAAAGTGAGTGAGAACACACAGGTGGTACACACCTGTGGTTCCAGACACAAGGAAGCATAGATAGGCAGATTGTGCCCCCCCCCACAAAAACTCTAGACCCTGTATGAAGAATAACTAAAGCAAAACACAGCTGGGAGTGTGGCTCAAATGCTGGAGCATATGCCTAACAAGCACAAGATTCTTGAGTTCAATTCCCTGTCCTTGGAAAAAAAAGTCAGGCAGCCAGGACATTCTGCAGAAGTGACCCAGTGCTGGCTGTCGCCAGCCTGCCTGGAAAGCAAACCTTCCATTTTTCCAGGATCCTGAGAATGTAAACATTATGTTCCTGCAGGGAGAATTCCGGGTCCAGAAGGAGGCAGTGTGGACAGTGGCTAACTTCGTCACAGGGGCCTCGGTGGACCAGTTGTTCCAGCTTGTCTACTCGGGTGTTTTGGGGCCGCTGGTGAATCTGCTCAAGGCCCCTGACGTGCGGCTGCTCCTTCTCCTCCTCGATGTCATCGCCTGTATTTTCCAGGTGAGTGTAAACCTGCAACTCCCTGTCTACATTCTTATTTTACTTTTGTGTTTTAACATAATTTTACCAGTAAGGTGTTGTACAAGGGGGCTACCATTTCATAAGTCAGGTAATGAGTACATTTATTTTTTTGGACAATGGCCCCCTTCCTTCGCTTTCCCCCAATTTCCCCCTCCCTGCCCACAAGTTTCTCATGTGCTTACATTTGTTTTTTTTTTTTTTTGGAGGGGGGGGTGGTTGGCACTAGGAATTGATTTGGGAGTCTCACACTTGCTAGGCAAGTCCAGGATGACTATGTCATTTCCTTACCTCAAATACTTCTTTTATTTTAATTTATTTACTCATTTATTGTCAGTTGTGGAACTTGAACTCTGGGCCTGGATGCTGTCCCTTAGCTCTTCAGCTCAAGGCTAGTGCTCTACCACTTGAGTCACAGTGCCACTTCCAGTTGGTGGTTAATTGGAGATAAGAGTCTCACCGATGTTTCCTGCCTGGGCAGGCTTTGAACTGCAACCCTCAGATCTCAGCCTCCTGAGTAGCTTGGATGATAGGTGTGAGCCACCAGCCCCCGGCTTTTATTTGTATCAGTCCTGGGGCTTGAACTTTGGGCCTGCACACTGTCCCTGAGCTTTTCTGCTCAAGGCTGGCACTCTACCAAGTGGGCCACAGCATCACTTCCAGCTTCTTTTTTTTTCTCCTCTTTGGTGGTTAACTGGAGATCAATCACATAGACTTTCCTGCCTAGGCTGGCTTCAAACCATGATCCTCTGATCTCAGCCTCCTGAGTAGCTAGGATTTTAGCTCACCCTCACTGTCCCACCTGTCCATGCAAACATCTCAGGTCCAAGTAGGGAGTAAGAGGAACCTTCACCTGTGACAGGATAGGAATGGCCTCTGAGCAGAGCTGTGAGGGAGTGAACCAGGAGTGGTGTGGGGATTGGAGGAGAGGGTATAGTGGGATCTCAGGCCTGGAAGTGCTGGATGATGAGGCCTGCAGGGCCTGGCAGACAGAAGGCAGTGATTAGTTCTGTGTAAGGTAGAAAAACCCACAAAACGTTTAAAATGGGGCAAAGCCAGTGAGCAGCCGGCCCATTAAAATAGCCTTGCTCCAGGGAGGGGCGCGAAGTTAGCAGCAGTAAATCCTGAGGATGGTGGTAAACTTGTGGCTCCATCCACCTGTGTGCCTGTGAGGGTGGGGAAGGGACTGCAAAGCACTGACCCGTGATTCTAGAAAAGTCTTAGCTCTCACATATACCAAAATTAAACCCACTAGTTAAGTACTGTTTGAGTTTCTTCTATATTGCTGCATCACAAATGCCTATCAATTGAACTCAAACTCCTAAGCCACACCCCCTCCTCCGCAATTCTTCTGCAGAAAGGGTCTCATACTAACTTTGCCTGGCTTGGCCTCCTATCACATTCCTCCTACCTCTGCCTCTAGGGTAGCTATGCACTACCACAGCCAGCCTCAGTAGTATCTTAACACAAATATTTGTGTTTCTGGAGTTAGGAATCTAGGGCTGGCTTAGCTAGTATGTTCTGCTTCAGGGTTGGTGACGCATAAGGTTTAGTTAAGGTGTCACCTGGGGTGGGGGTGGGGGGCAAGCACTGTGGCTCACACCTGTGATTGGAATCCCAGCTACTCAGGAGATAGAGATCTGGAGGATTGTGATTGGAGGCCAGACTGGGCAAAAGTTACAGAAAGCTCATCTCAGCCTAATAGTATGGGTGCCTGTCATCCTAATTAATTAATATAAGAGATCATAGGTGGGAGGATCATGTTCTGAAAGTTTGCAAAAAAAAAAAAAGAGCAAATCTGTATCTCCTTCCTTCCTTCCTTTTGGTAGTACTAGCATTTGAACTCAGGGCCTCATGCTTTCTAGGCAGTTTCTACCACTTGAGGCATACCTCTAGCTCTTTTTACATTAGTTATTTTTCAGGTAGGGTCTTACACTTTTGCTCAGTGCCAGCCTCAGATTGCAACCCTCCTACCTTTGCTTCCATTTCTTTGCTCCAGCCAGTAACTGACTTTGGACCTTCATATAGGGCTTGAGGCTATCAAGATTTAGACAGGCAAGCCCTGTCAAAACAAAGGCACTTCAAGTATGTTTAATTTGACCAATAGCATATTTTTGTGCTGCTGCTCATAAAACTGTAATAAAAGGGCTCTTCAGCCAGATGCCAGTGGCTCACGCCTGTAATCCTAGCTACTCAGGAGGCTGAGATCTGAGGATCGTGGTTCAAAGCCAGCCAGGGTAGGAAAGTCCGTGAGACTCTTAATATGCAATAAACCACTCAGAAAACTAGAAGTGACACTGTGACTCAAGTGGTAGAGCACTTGCCTTGAGCTGAAGGGCGAAGGGACAGTGCCCAGGCCCAGAGGTCAAGCCCCACAACCGACCAAAAAAAAGGGGGAGGGCTCTTCAGGAGAATGATGCCAAAGTACTTTTTTTCTTCTCCTTTCTGTCTCTTTCCCCACCTCCAAATAAGCCATTTGGCCCATTTCCCTCCTGTCATAAAATGCAGCATTTGTTTCTCCAATCTTTTGTCTTTACTGTCCCTTCTTTGGGAATGTTATTCTCCTGGCCAGCAAAGTGTCATTTATTATATTAGGGACACCTTCCAAACCTGGCCTCCATGTTTCTTATTACTTTCCTCTCTGATGGCTCACTAGGTTTTTCTAGTGCTGGGCTAGAACCCAGAGCCTTGTAAGTACTTGACCACCAAGTTCCATTTTTAACTCCCATATTTTTTACACTGTAACTATTTATTTGTCACCTTAATGGTCTCAGTGATGAAAAGACCTTCTGAGTCCCCTCCCCACCCAGAGCAAAGTGAGGGATGTTGTAAGCAAAACAACTCAGGTTGTTTGCTCCAAGGACTTTGTTCTTTGCCATGCGGCAGCTTCTGTGATGCAGGGGCTCCTGATTTCTCTCCTGAGGCTCCAGGGGGCACAGGACTGATCATCCACTTTACTTGAAATTCCATATTTAAAATGACTTCCACACTGGGCACCTAGCTATTCAGGAGATGAGATATGAGGACTGCATTTTGAAGCCCAGGCAGGAAACTCTGCTGAGCTCTCCACTGAACTGCCAAAAAAGCCAGAAGTGGAGGTGTGATTCAAGTGGTAGAATACTAGCCTTGAGTAAAAGAAGCTCAGAGACAGTTCAAGACCCAGGGCTAGGATATAGTACCTGCCTTGAAAGTCCTGGGGTTGGATCCCCAGTACCAAAGAAGAAAAGGAAAAAAAATACAGCTAAAAACAAAGCTCCCAAAACACAACTTCCCATTAATTAGAAGACCATTTTTACAAACTAGTCATAAAAATGTATTTAGCTAAAAAAAAAAAAGACATCATCCTAAGACCAAGTGTGGTAGTATATGCATATAATTCCAGCAGTTTGGGAGGTGGAAATAGATCATGGTCTAAGGATGGCCTGGGCAAAACCCCATCTGGCAAACTAAAAGGCTGACAACATGGCTCAGGGTGTAGAGCACTTACCTGGCAAGTATGAAATTTTGAGTTCAAACCACAGTATGACAGAAAAAAAATTGTGTATGTGTATATTTGGTATAAATATCCATGTAGTCTCGAAATACTCTATTTTGTGCAATGAAAATAGGCATAAGTGAATAGCAAAGAAGCATGCGCTGATACATACATGTTTTACATGAATGTGCATGGATTTATATGCATGTAATTGCTGTTCTGCAGAGGGCATTATGTAATCTATATATTATGTATTCGGTATATCACAAGTATGTGGCAGGGAGAAGGTGGTGCCATTTCCAGTCACCCTGGGGGTCCTGGGTCTGGTTCCCTGAGATGACATGAAAGCTGGGTAGAGGGTCCCCCTCCAGGACGCCGAGGGTCTCAGGAGCTGCCCCCCCCCCCGCCTTAGGCAGCCAAAAAGACGCAGCAGCAGGAACGCCTGCGGCTCCTGATGGAAGAGCTGGGCGGCGTGGACCGCATGGAGGCGCTGCTAATGCACAACAACCACCGCGTGGGCCAGAGTGCACTGACCATCTTGGACAAACACTTCAATGAGGTGAGTGAGCCCCAGGACCCTGCACCCCCCCCCACTCCACCCTACTGGGGAGGAGGAGGTGAGTACTGTGCAACTTGTCTTGTGTACATGTGTGCGTCAGTCCTGGGGCTTGAACTCAAAGCCTAGAGGCTGTCCCTGAGTGTGTGTGCTCAAGGTTGGCACTCTACCACTTGAGCCACAGCTCCACTTTCTGGCATTTTTTTTTTGGAAGTGGAGGTAAGAATCTTACAGATTTCCCTGCTCAGGCTGGCTTTGAACCTCGATCCTTAAGATCTCAGCCTCCTGAGTGGGCTAGGATGACAGGTGTTGAGTCATTTCTGGCAAAATCATGCTTTCCTTGCCACCTTGTGGAGAGGATAGGGTGAGACAGGGAGCACTGGCCAGGCAAACCTGAGTCCCTGAGTTCAAAACCCCAGGACCTCTAAAAATGTTTTCTTTTTTTCTTGTTCTCCCATGTGTCCCTGTGGACGTGGCTGGTCTCTGTGTAGAATTCACCATCCTTCTCCCTATGAGTGGCATTTATCTACTCCAGTTCACCCAAGTTAAAGCTTGTGTCAGAGTTTGATTATTTATTGTTGTTGGCAATACCAGAGTTGGAACTCAGGATCTCACACTTGCTAGGCAATCTGCTGCTGAACCATAATCTCCAGCTCTTTTTGCTTTAGTTACTTTTGGATAGTGTCGGATGGGTTTTTCCCTAAGGCTGGGCTCAAACTACAATTTTCTCCCCTACTCCTGCTAAGTAGATAAGACAACAGATGTGAGCCACCACACGTAGATTGTCTGTTGAGATGGGGGTCTGCTCACTTTTTGCATGAGCTGTCGAACCCTGATTAACCTGATTTCCCCTTATCCAAGGTGCTGGGCTTGTAGGCATGTACTACCCTGCCCGGCCCTTCATTCTTTTTTTTTTTCAAAACAGAATATATACACACACACCATATCTTGTTTAGAATGCATCCATCAGTGGACTCAGGTTGCTTCTATTTGAGAATTCTGAATAACACTGCTATGAACATGACTGAACAAATAATCTATCAGAGCTCCAGCTTTCAATTCGCAAGTGGAATTGGTGGGTCATAAGGTGTTCTGTTTTTGGTTTTCTTTTGTTTCCTGGTGCTAGGGTTTGTACTCAGGGCTTCACTCTTGTTCAGTGTGTTTACTCATGGCCACACCTCCAGCCTGGTTTTTTGCAGTTGGGCCTTTTCTGGTTATTTTAGAGATGAAGTCTCATTTTTCTTACCCAGGCTGTCCTTGAACTCGGATACTTCTGGCTCAGCCTCCTGAGTAGCTAGGATTACAAGTGTGAGCCACTGGTACCAGGCTGGTATCTGTTTTTTAGCTTTTGAAGAATTTCCTTATAGTTTTGCACAGTAAATGTGTCTTTTCATTGCTACAGCAGTGTTGAAGGTTTCCAGTGTCTCCATCCTGACCAGTACTTGGTATTTTCTAGTATTTTGGATAGTCATTGTCCTCATGAGTATGAAGTAATGCCTTGTGATTTGGACTTGGGGTTTCAATTAAGCACTCTTTATTTGTCCATTGATTTTATTTTGTGTTATGTATGTGTAAAGAAAAGAGGTTTAGTTGGGCAGGTGTTCTACCACTTGAGCCACATCCCCAGCCCTTTAGGCTTTATTTTTCAAATAGGTTCTTGAGATTTGGCCCAGGTCCAGCCTTGCAGCATGATCTTCCTTTCCATGCCTCATCCACATCAGATACCTTGTCTGACTTATTAATTAAAATGAAGTTTTGTTAAATTTTTGCCCAGGCTGCTGTCGAACCGTGATGCTCTCGATCTCTGCCTCCCAAGCAGCTGGGATTACAGGTGCGAGCTACTGCGTCCAGCATGTGAATGTTCTTAATGCCACGGAACTCTTCTTTCAAATGGTGAAGGTGGGAGATCTTTATGATGTATGTTTCACCACAGACAAAACTGCACTTGAAGTGTTTCCAGGCTCTGTCCTCAGAGGGGGCTCCTGGCCACTGGCAGCAAACGAGGTGTAACAGGCTGGGCCCCTGGTGCCTGTCTTCCCTGAAGAAAAAAACAAAACATCATTTTCTCCATCCTCTGCCAGGACTGAGAGCTGGAGGTCCTAATATCAGTCTCTGAATTGAGACTGAAACCCAGGTATTCTAGGCTAACTTCTTTGAGAGGCAATACCCCAATATCTATGAGTGTCACAGATGGAAAACTTTTTAAAACTTAATAAAATGTTCAGTGCTTTCACCTCTTAGTATGGTTTGGGATCTGAAAAGTCCCCCAAAGGGTCCGAGCCATTTGTGGCCAGCCTGTGGCATTCTCACATGGGGAAGCAACGTGAGGACCCGGTGACTTCCCGTTCTCTGCTTCCTGGCCAGATTCCACACATATTTTTAATTTGATTAGGATCACATTCTTTTTCTACTTTTTTTTCCCTGTTAACTAGGGCCTCACTCTCTAGGCAAGTGCTCTACCACTTGAACCACGCCCTCCAGTCCTTTTGCTTTTACCATGCTTTTTAGAGAGGGTCTTGCACTATTGTTGCCCAGGACAGCCTCCGGTTGTGATTCTCGTATCTCTGTCTTCCGACAGAGAATTAGAGGCATTTGCCTCTGGAATTAGAGGCATTTGCCACCACATTTGGCTGCTTTCTGAACATTTAAAAAGCATCATTTCTCCCATTTGTAGATTAAAGTTGGAAGGCTGTTTACAAATTATATCTATGACAGGTTTCTTTTTTCAGTCCAGGGGTTTGAACTCAGAGCCTTCTACTTGCTAGGCAGACATTCTTTAATACTGAGCCACACCTCTAGTCCTTTTCTGTGCTATTTATTTTTGAGATGGGATCTCACTTTTCATCCAGGAAAAAAAAAAAGTCTTACGTTCCTCTATCACAGTGGAGATGGTGTGCACCGCGGTGCCTAGCTTTTGATTGAGATGGGAGAGGAGTTCCTCCTGCCTTTTCTTTTGCTTGGGCTGGCCTCAAACTGCAATCCTTCCCATCTCGGCCTCCCCAGTAGCTAGGGTTATGAGACACCATTATGCAAATTTTTAAAGTCAAAACAGTTGCAAACTCGAAGTTTAGTCCCTCTGCCCATGTGGTCTAACTTTGATTCCACTGAAGGTTAGCCTCTTGCCTCTTACTTACTTAACTATTCTTTATTCTGGTGGTGACACAAAGGGACTTTTGTAGTTGGGAGTTACTGATCACCAGCTGGTCTAGCAAGGTTTTAAAAAATGCAGCAATTTGCTTTTAGGACTTGGCCTGGGTGTACATCCAGGCTGTTAGTCACCTTCTGGCTGGATGCCCTTGGGCCTGGACTTAGCCTTTTGGGGTGACTGGCAGGGTAACAATGACAGGAAGGAAGGAGTGAGTGGTGATCATCTAGCCCTGGGTGAGCAAACCCCTGGAACAACAGACCTTGCACGTGGCTGCCCCTCAGTCCTGTAGCACGGAAGAGCCATGGTCTCTGCTATCCTCCATCATGGTGCCCAAGTCTAGCCGAACACTGATGGAGGGCAGAGTGGAGGAGCAGGCAGAGCGTCCTGCGCCCGTGTCCTTGCCCAACATTGGTGGAAACATGGTTGTCAACAAAGTTTCTTAACACACACAACCATCCCCACGTATGTGTGCCTACCTATGTACACACTTGCATTTGCAGGTAGACCCAGAACACGAGTGCAACTTCTTGGAAGGGGAAAGGAAGAAGTGAACAATTTAGAAATACAGCTCTAAGAAAATGGCTCAAAGCCCTTCTGTGAGAGCTGGTGACCAGCAGTGGGTTGGGGGCAGGGAAGGAGAAGCAGGCTTTGGGGGTGAGTACTAGTAGAAGGGGGTTGGGCCAACAACGATGAGAGAATAAATGAAGTAGTTTGTTTGCATATATGAAGATAGAACAATGAAACCTTTAGGAAGTGTGTGTGGGGGGGAGGAACACATTGTAAACATACGTGGAAAAAGCGCCCCCCCCAAACTTGTGTAACTAATGTAAACTAATAAGAGCCCAGATATGGGAAAATAGTATCTTCAAAAATGGACACACAGGAGAAGACTTAATTACAAACTCTTTCATAATGGGAGAATCTTGATCTGGTGAGTCAAGGAATAAAAGGGTGAAGCTGGGCACACCTGTTATCCTAACTTCTGTGGAGACTGCAATGTGAGGATCACAGTTTGAGGCCAGCTCAGACAGGCAAGTCCAAAAGAGTCTTAGGTTTATTTTACTAGCAAAAAAGCTGGAGGCAGAGGTATGGTTCAAGTTAGAATGTTAGCCTTGAGTGAAAAAGCTAAGGCAGGGAGAGTACAGGTCCCTGAGTTCGAGTCCCAGGGTGAGCTGTTACATACCTGTAACATTAGAGTTTGGGAGACTGAGGCTGGAGGACAGTGAAGTGTCAGGCCAGTTTGGGCTATATAGGGAGACTGTTTAAAAAAGGAAGGGGAAATAGTTTATGTACTCTTTATAAATCCTATATGTGACATTTTACATATGGAAAATTCTAGAATACTTTTCAACTAACTCCTGGCTTCTAGTTGAGACAGAGTTGACTAATCCCCAATTTCTCATTCATAGAATTTTTTTAAGTAATGAAAAAAAATATTAGAAACCTCAGATACATTACATAATGTCATCTGATCTTTGGATTCTAAACCTGTATTTCTGAATTACACTACTTACATCATACAATGAAAGTTGGTTTTTTTTTTTTTTTGAATCAGTACTGGGGTTTGAACTCAGTCTTGACACTTGATAGGCAGGTTCTCTACCATTTGAGTCACATTCCCAAACCCTTTTTGCTTAAGTTATCTTTCTGGCAGGAGCTCACTCTTTTGCCCAGTGCTGACATCACACCATAATCCTCCCACCTCTGGTCTCCCAAGCAGCTAGAATCACAGCTTGGTGTTGAGCATCACCAAACCCGGCCTCACACAGTATGAGTCTGATAAAGGGTCTGGGAGTTACCTGGGAGGAAAAGGCGTTTCCTTATCAGAGCTGCTCTCCTCCAAAGAAAACAGTCTTGTTCACATGGAGTGATTCATAAACGGGAAACTGTCCAATTGCTAATTCACTTGTCCT